CGGCCCGCCCCGGGGGCTGGGGCACAGGCTGCCCGAGGCATCGCCATGAAAGTGAATAGGTCTTTAGGGGGGAGCCCGTTCGTGCTATACTTTTCCTGTGTCATTTTTGGTCATTTCCCAGTCCTTGCCTTCTTATTGTATAGCACCATGCTTTATTCTTTTAGACTTCTACCAGCCCTTTGATGGACCAAAGAAGTTCTGCTCAATAGTCTATTTTCTAGTCACTTATTATACTGTCCATCAACTACTGCATTGCTTCAGCCACACAGGTAAAATAATAAGACTTTCCAATTTCTTTTTTGCAACATTACTTCTGCTTCAAACACATCAAGGGGGATGTTGAAGGTCCCCCTGAGCCTTGGGTGCCATTGCTGAAGCCACAGTAGGGCTGCAAACGTGAAGACTGTAGTATGAATGCCTCTTCCTCAGGGTCTTGTATAAGACTCTTCCTTTCCATAGTTCTTCACATTGTTTTTATTTTTTTTTTGGGGGGGCGGGGGGGATAACTGTGATCTTGGAGTTTGCAATGAAAGAAGGGTATTCCTGGCATCCAGAATAGGTTGCTCAAAGGAATAGGCGGACTCTCCTTGCTCCCCCTGTTCATGAGGGTAGGTTCTCCTGAAGAATGATCCACAGAATGATCCAAATGTGGATCTGCTTGAAATTGCCCTTTGGAGGAGATCCTCCTCCTCCTGCTGTTACAGCAGAGGCCTGTGGATAGGCGCTTGGCTGAACTAGGGGCTCAGGTTGGTGCAAGCGAATGTCCATCCCCAAGGACCTCTGTGAATTCCCAGCAGCAGTGGCTGCCCAGAGCTCTCCACCTTGCCCGGAGTAAGTCCCAAGGGTGCCTTCTGGTCACAAAAGGGACTGTGCGGAGGAGGCAATATTTGGATCCTGCCTCTTACAGGAATGACTTGGATTGTATAACTAGGAACCCTGCAACTGTGGAGCAGCCCTTAGCTCTGAAAGCAGTTTCCAGGACTGAACACTTATGGGATCTTTGCCATCAACTGCCTCAAGAGAAATTCCGCATCCTTCGCATCAGTGATATATGTCATGGTTGTTTCAATTGGTATATAAATGGGACTCACTGCTGTTTAACAGGTAGGAAAGGTGTTTCCCCTATAAATCATGCCTCGTTTTTGGTTTTACAACCCCCCCTAGAGTCAGACACTGTATCTTCAGTTCTCTAAAGGAATAGATATTTTTCTCTGGAATGAAGCTGGCCCTGACACAGATGCAGGTGCAGAGCATCTGTCCCCTGCCATTAAAATACTTGAAAGAAGTTAAGTCTCCCCGAAGAGTGTTTTCAACTGTAATGTTTTCTTGGTTATGATGAGCGAAAATTGAGTATTTAATGTAGACCTATTTAAAGTACTACAATGTGTCCCAAGAAAGGGTTTGTAACTTCGGCAAACAGTTGTAAAGCTCCCCAAAACAGTAAAGCTCCTAAAAAAACACTGAGATGATTCTGTTTTGCAGGCTGAGAAATAGTAGCAAGTGCTTGATATTGTATTTTCATAATAGCTTGCTTACTTTCCTAAAATGACAAAATAATTATCAGGATATTTACTTTTCTTGTGTGAACGGACAGGTCTGGGACCTAATCACCAAGCAAAACAGATAAAATGAACAATACATTTTAAAGTCAATTAGTCACTTTTATTTCTATCACTACTCTGCTTAAAAACCATAATCGCTGTCAGAACTGTGTTAAGTGCTATGTGTTGCTAGGAGCCCATCATCACTTTGGGATTATTAGGGAAGGAAAGAAAGGAAAGGGTAAGAAATAGAAGCGACCATTCCCAGAGCACAAGATTGGCAGAACTGAGAATAGAGAATGTGTTTTCTGTCCTGCACTGGTCAGCACTGTCCTGGTCTGTGACCGCTGGCCACCTCCTGGCCTAATGGGAGCTTAAAAGGGAGTTGTTGGGCTGGCAGTTCACAGACAAAACCTTGGTTGGGGTCTCTAGGAAACTTTGGGTACCTTTGCTGAGATATTAGGCATTACATCATACTTGTTCTTCGGAAAAAGATGTTAGTAGTAGCTTAGTATAAAATATTTTCTGAGAGCTTTATATTAAGGAACATTGCTCAGTCTCAGTATTAAATTGTTCCTGAATTAACCAAGAATACTGGGATTTCCGAATGAGTGTGTTGAGTGTGTTTGACATTGGAGCAATTGTTCTTCACAAATAGTTCCTTTGCTTCTAAAATGTCTGTGCTGTTCTTCTTTAAGAGTTTTATCTGCATTAATAGAACAACATTGTTGGTGCTATTCTGAGATCCTTGTGTAGACTTCAAGAAGAATTTTTTAATATTATTTTTTTCTCCAGTGACACAGTTAACTCACAGCACTCTGGGTTTTCTAC